AAACATGTTCACCTTTTCCAACGGGTTTGAGGCTGCTACATTGAAGATCCCGAACCGGGACTACAACGCCTCGAACGGATCGAACCTCCGTAACGCCGCACTACCTGTACACTACGGTGGCTCCAACGATCCATACAACATCGTGACAGTCAATCAAGGGGGCGTGGTGGTAGATGGACGGGATGGGACGACGTCATGGCCTGCGCCTCAGATGTCTTTCTTGGAGGACGGTCATTTTGTGCCGTCGACCGTCCCTGTACAGCCTCCTCGTAAGCAGATCATAGGCTTCGCGAAGTTCCGCACTCGTCAAGAAGCATTGGAAGCACGTGACTTGCTACAAGGGCGTCGTGTGGACATTGAGAAAGGTTCAGTGCTCAAGGCGGAGATGGCGAAGAAGAATCTGCATACCAAGCGTGGACCCGGCATGGGTCCTATGGGTGTAAACTCGGTGCTAGGTGGGGCAGCCATGCAGCCGGACTCGTTGACCGCTGTCCCTGGTCTGGGTGCGGCCTCGAATGCGAACGAGGTCTTCATGCAACGCGAGAAGGAGCTTGGGCTCGGTCCTATGACGATTGCTGGACTTGGTCAAAGGAGAGCACTAGGTGACAATCGCGATGACCTGATAAGTATGGCCACGTTTGCTACGCGTGGGGCGCGCGAGCGTGCAGAAGAGGATGAGCGAGAGCGGAAGCGGAAGGAGAAGGAGGCACAGCGACTTCGCCAGAATTCGTTCGCATTCGAAGCATTCCACTCGGTTCCTGCACAGATGGTGCGGCAAGGCGCAAATTCGCTGTTGTCCGTGGAGAACGGCGCCATGGGCCCTGCTCTACCTGAGCAGACCCACTCACTCTCTGCGCAGTCGTCCATGCAGAGCCTTACTTCGCAGGGTGACAGCGGTCCATGGCCAACGCTACGAGACGTGGACAACGGCGTTCCGCTCAGAAAATTGTCTGCGGCTGCGTCGTCTCTCCTTCCGCCACGGCCTCCGTCTACACAGCAGGAGGAGTCGCCGATCAACGGGGAGGCAGCCCCCAGCCCTCCTTCGGGTGCCGCATCTCTGTCAGGAAGTACCAATCCAAGCGCACCGTTCTCACCGCAATCAACATCCTCTATGCTCCCATCCTATGGCGCGTTCCAACCGGGACATCGGGCTTCATCTCCCTCCGCTGAAACTTACGGGTTAGTGGACACAGGTTCACTCCCGACATCCAGCGCGTCTAGCGCGAACGGTGGTCATGGCCTGAATGGTGACGATCTTGCTAGGGCAGTCGGCGTGCTTGCTGTGAGCACAGACCACGAGGGCACGATCTCGCCGCAGCTCCCATCTCCCGCGTCCAACTCGAGTTCCGGTCACGGCAGGAACCCTGGCGATCAGAACCCACCGGTGAGTGTCACATTTGGCGTGTGGCGGATGCGCGACTTATACTTTCTCCAGATCAATACCTTATACGTCGGTAATTTACCTAGTTCTCCATCACCTGGTGGGTCTCCGCCAGCCATGCTCGAGGATCGTCTTCGCGATCTTTTCTCGAAGCGGCCTGGATATCGCAAGTTGTGTTTTAGGCAAAAGAGCAACGGACCGATGTGTTTTGTTGAGGTATGTATGCCACTCACTCATGGAAGCGTGTCCGACTAAACGTGATATCTCAGTTCGAGGACGTTGCATACGCAACCAAGGCTCTCAACGAATTGCACGGCGATACTCTAGGCGGCCTTGTGAAAGGAGGCATTCGCCTATCGTACAGCAAGAATCCTCTCGGCGTTCGCACGCCTACGAGTGGCGGTAATGGGCAAAGCTTGCAACAACAACAGGTTAGTCAGCAAGCTTTTTACTCGACGCAGAATGCGGTGGACGACTTTCGCACAATCCGACGCGACACCTCCGGCATGACATCCCCTACTAATTCCTACTACTACGCGATGTCGTCCCCACCACCCCGCTTCGCGGCCTCACCGCCCTCGTTCCCCTCGTCATTGACAAACGCTTCTATGTTCCCGAGAGCTTCGCCACAAGGGTTCAGTTTGTCTTCTGGCATCTCCTCCGCGTTTTCTCCTTTCGGCATTTCCCCATCTCATTCCTCGATACCCGATCAGCCCAGCGCTGACCCCAGCAATGATCAATTCAAGCACACGCTTTCATCCGCCAACGTAGAGGCCAGCCGAGCAGGCTAAACATCATCAGTCCACCTTCAACCCTTGTCCACGCATGTACTTATACGTATGAACATATTTCCCCTCTTCTCGCCGCATATTTACTCCCAGTTCATATCGCCGGACACTTGGTCTCCTCTGTGGTTTCTGACAGCACTATCTACCGACACATTCAGATTTCATCGCCATCACATAACCATAACCGTATATACGTACCTTACGTAGTACCTAACTAGCCGCTACCCCCTATTGTTCTCATACTTCCGCTAGTTGTTTCCAGTGCTTCCATCTTCACCTTTGCCCGCAGTGTGTTCCTCCCCAAATGTCCCTTTGTTCTGTGACTTGCACCACTTTTCTCCTTTCCGTCACCTTTCATACATGTTCCTGGTTATTCTTGCAAACTGTCATTGCTGTTTGGCTAGCCTCCTCTCCCCACAGCTCACTGTAGGGTACACTTGCGTCGATCTTAGCGCCTACACCATATGTATCAAAAGCGTATAATTCTACGTTCGATTTACGACTGGCTTGCATTTCCATTCGTCTGCTGTGTGTTGTGTACTGCTGGTAATTGGTAGCAAACTATGAATGACCTCCTACAACCTACCCTGATCTGACCGCGAGATAATTCCAAGGCGTCTATGCGGCGCGTACGACCGTGGAAGCGCCGTGGTCTTTCTCCCGTACCTCCATGCTCCCATTTGTGCCCCGTAAAGTTGCCCAGTCCCTCAAATCCAAGGCGAGGAGTAATACACAGGTACAGGATGTCAAAGGCTTCTCTCACCAAAATACAAGTGTAGTACCCATCGATCAACCTGAGCTTCCATCACCACCAGTCGCAGGACCGAGCAAGGGTCAGAAGGACAAGGCAAAGGAAACACAGCCAACGCCGCCATACAAAGACTATGCAGCACTGCTCTTGCTCTCACTAACCTCTCATGCTCTCTGGGCAAATGGGACCCTAAGACACGCTATCGAGACGGGCGACGAAGGGTGTGCGTAGAACGTGTCCGTGCACTGTCCAGAGGATATCGTGAGTTGACGCGCGTTCCGTTTTATGTTTGCTTGGTAGACGTGCCCCTTTCGTATTTGATCGCAGAGTCGCCGTATCTTGCTGGCTGTGGGCATGAGCCGGAGGAGGGGGCGCTGGTGCGCGCGGTCCGGATGCATGCGGCGGAAGAGTTGGAAGTGCGAATGATCATGTCAGAGCCGTCGCGCGCTGTGTGGTACGGTCGGAGGGTCGACAGTGGTATGGGAGGTGGGTATGAGGTCAGGGCGAGGGGTGGATACCGTGAAGCTACGATGCAAGGTGCCCAGGCAGGGACGCGGGAAGGGTGGGATAGCCGGACGGTATATGTGGTATGTAAACTTCCTTGGTATAATTCCGCTCAAGCTAAATCTCAAGCATCGAGAGTAGGAAAACATACCTCCTCAGTATCGCAGTCTCGCAGGGATATACCATTTCGTATCCTCTTTGCTGCAGCTGGAGGGCTCAGTTCTTCGACCCTGGCGGTTGCAGAGCATCTCGCTGCCGAGGCACCACCAGGACAAGCCCGATGATCAACCAAAATGCAAGGGCTTTGCATTGGTCACTTTGGCAGAGGACGACGACGTCCACGCTCTTCTGTCTCGCTGGCCATGGACCCGAAACGAACTCAACGGCGCAGCTCTTGAGCACGAGGTAACGCGCAACGCTGAACGGGACGAGGCGATCAAGTTCGGATTCAGGGTCCTCGAGAAGGCAGCATGGCAGCGCCTCAACAAGGAGTACATAGCATATCGCCAACGACTACTTGACGAAATCACGCGGGAAGAATCAGCCGCGCAAGTCGAGTACACGACCTCCACTGCAGCAGACGAGCCCAAAACGTCTCAAGCTACCCAGGAGGACCCAACACCTTCTATGGACCCTAACGCGCCGTTTCCGCAAAACTGCCTTGTATTCGTGCGAAACGTGCATCCTGAGACGAATAAAACGACGCTACGCAAGCTGCTTTCGCGCGCGTTCGAAGCCTCAGGGACGGAGAACTTTAGTGAAGCGATTGACTATGTCGATTTCAACAAGGGTATGACTAGTGTGGGCATCTGCTTTCTCACTATAACCATCGGGTACTGACGTTGGTCCATTTGTAGTGCTACCTACGCCTCTCCACGCCCCATATTGCCCAGCACATCGTCTCGTACTACGCGCAGAGTCAGATCGCGCAGTCCGGCGGCCTGGACGGAGATGGCTGCTCTCCATCCGCTGCGACTAAGGTTATAACGATGGAGCTCGTGACAAGGGAGCGGGAAGAGCTGTATTGGGATAAAGTGCCTGAGAAGGTTCGTCGACAGGCAGTGGCGAAGGCGGTGGGGTCTAGTACAATGGATGCTCAGCCTGAGCCATCATCGACAAGGAATTCGACCGGTTCGAAGCGCAAGCGGAGAAGATAAAAAATGCAGTTCGTATGCTCGAGAAGATCGTCCGACCTTGCATATGCGTAGCATCAGTCGCGAAGGTTGAATCATTAAGTATTACTTCCTTTTTGTGAAAAGGTTAGTCTACAATATAAACGTTGCTTTGCTTTGTTTCGTTGTCTTGCAGGCCAAATACCACATCTATGAAAAGGACTGTCTGTCCAGATTTCAGATTGCACGAGAAAAAATGATCTCAGCGCAACTTGGCGAACTATTTGCACAATAAACATACCATTTACTCTAGAAACTGTTTATAAACTATGTACAACCCTTCACAGTACTTATATCTATACAGTTTGAGTCAACGTAAACTGGGTGGTTATCGCCAACTTGCCAAGTGTAGGATGTACCGATGCAGTGTATTGATCAAGAAAAACAAACTAGTTGCAATTATAAGGCCCTGCCAGGAATCGAACCTGGGTTAAGAGAATTCGTGTAACATCAGAATCTCCTGTGATAACCGCTACACTACAGAGCCGTTACTTGATCTCACTGTTACTTAATATGTCCAGGAGGCGCTGTCTTGTCCTGGGAGTCATCTGTCTCGCATTAGATTTTTTCAATTGTGAAGTCATTGGCAAGTCTCCTTGTTTCGTCCGCTCATGGCGTCCTTCATCCCCATCCTCGATGGCCAGAACGATGAGGCCCTCCTGCGCTGTTTATCGCGCATCGGCCCTGCCATCGTCCCAGCTTCACTGAGCGGGCTTCGCCCCGACCTCTCTCAATACATCCTCCTCGACCAAGCCGTGGATTTGGACGATATAACACGCAAACTCGACGCGGGCGCGGAGAAAGTCATCGTACCGCTGTCGTCAGCCAAGGAAGTCGTCGGCGTGTTCCCGCCACAGCGACTGCTGCTGCTCCTCGACGTCGCGAACGCCAGCGCCGTCTCTGAAAAGACCCGCAACGGCGTGTCGGGCGTCGTGATCAAGACGCCCTCGCTCGACACCGACTTCATCTCCTCAGTATCCCGGTTTTTCTCCGGGGCAGATATTCATGTCCTACCCACGAACTCTGCGACGCCGCCGACTGTGGCGGCCATCCGTGAACTCCGTCGCTCTGGCGCGATCCTGGTCTTACCCACGGCCACACTCACGCTCTCAGAAACAAGCAGCACACAACTCAATGTGGCGGATGCATTCGTCGCGCCGCTCCGCTCCGACCGCCCGGACGGTCTCTTTGCCACAGTCGTGACCGAAGGCGGCCGTTCCCTCGGCCTCGTCTACTCCTCAACAGAATCCATCAAGGAAAGCATCCTCACCGGCCGCGGTGTCTACCAGTCGCGCTCAAAGGGCCTCTGGCGCAAGGGCGACACGTCCGGCGCGACGCAGGACGTGCAGCGCATCCGGCTCGACTGCGACGTGGACGCGCTCGAGTTCGACGTCGTGCAGCACGGCGCCGGGTTCTGCCACTTCGACCGCATGTCGTGCTTCGGCGCGCAGCACGGGCTCGCCGCGCTCGAGCGCACGCTCCAACAACGTTTTGAGACCGCGACCGAGGGCTCGTACACGCGCCGGCTGTTCGCGGACCCGCAGCTCCTGCGCGCGAAGATCATGGAGGAGGCGGACGAGCTGTGCCGCGCGGAGACGCGGGCGGAGGTCGCGTTCGAGGCCGCGGACCTGCTCTACTTTGCGCTCGCAAAGTGCACGGCTGCGGGCGTGCGCGTCGCGGACATCGAGCGCTCGCTCGACGCGAAGGCGAAGAAGGTCACGCGCCGGCCCGGGAACGCGAAGCCGCAGTGGGTGAACGCGCAGGCGTCGTCGTCCAAGGCACCCGCCCCCGCACCCGCACCTGCCGCGGAGCCCAAGCCCGCCGCGGACCCCGACGCGCCGATCCGCATGCGCACGTACGACCTCGCCGCGTGCGACGCCGCCCAGCGCGCCGCGCTCCTCAAGCGGCCCGTCCTCGACTCCAGCGCCATGATCGCAAAAGTAAAACCCATCGTCGACGCGGTGCGCACCGGCGGAGACGCCGCGCTCCTCTCCTTCGTCTCCCAATTCGACCGCTGCCCGTCCATCAAAGACACGCCCGTCCTCCGCGCGCCCTTCCCGCCGATCCCCGAGGGCGCGCTCGCGCCGGACGTGAAGGCCGCGATCGACACGGCGTACGCGAACGTGCACAAGTTCCACGCGGCGCAGCGCGCGGCGCCGCTGCGCGTCGAGACGACACCGGGCGTCGTGTGCACGCGCTTCGCGCGGCCCGTCGCGCGCGTCGGGCTGTACGTCCCCGGGGGCACCGCGGTGCTGCCGAGCACGGCGCTCATGCTCGGCGTGCCCGCGCAGGTGGCGGGCTGCCGCGAGATCGTGCTCGCGACGCCGCCGCGCGCGGACGGGTCCGTGAGCCCCGAGGTGCTGTATGCGGCGGGGCTCGTGGGCGCGACGGCGATTCTCAGGGCGGGCGGCGCGCAGGCCGTCGCGGCGATGGCGTACGGGACGGAGACGTGCCCGAAGGTGGACAAGATCTTTGGGCCGGGGAACCAGTGGGTGACGGCGGCGAAGATGCTGGTGCAGAACGACACGGACGCGCTGGTGTCGATCGACATGCCCGCCGGGCCGAGTGAAGTCCTCGTGAGTGCCTTTTCTTCCTTTCACCGCCCTTTCACCAAGGCTATGCAAACTGAACTGGCGCATCGTAGGTCATCGCCGACGACAGCTGCACGCCCGCGTTCGTCGCGGCGGACCTGCTCTCGCAGGCCGAGCACGGCGTCGACTCGCAGGTCGTGCTCGTCGCGGTCTCCCTTCCCAAGGCGACGCTCGCGCAGATCGAGGCCGAGGTGGACCGCCAGGCGCGCGCGCTGCCGCGGCTCGCGATCATGCGCGAGAGCATCCCGAAGAGCATCATCGTGACGACGGAGAGCGTCGACGCGGCCGTGCGCTTCTCGAACGACTACGCGCCGGAGCACCTGATCCTGCACCTGCGCGACGCGCGGGGCGCGGTCGAGCTGGTTGAGAACGCGGGGAGCGTGTTCGTGGGGCCGTACTCGCCCGAGAGGTACGTGCAGCACACTTCATGTGCTTTCCTGAAAGATGCGTTTGCTGACGCTGACGGGTCTGCAGCTTTGGGGACTACGCGTCGGGGACGAACCACACGCTGCCGACGAACGGGTACGCGCGGCAGTTCAGCGGGGTGAACACGGAGGCGTTCCAGAAGCAGCTGACGGCGCAGGAGGTGACGGTCGCGGGGCTGCGCGCGCTCGGGCCCGTCGTCGCGACGCTCGCGGACTGCGAGAGCCTCGGCGCGCATGCGAACGCGGTGCGCGTGCGGCTGGCGGCGCTGGGCTTGAAAGAGTGAATCGGCGAGTGTGCTTGCGTCAAGGGAGAGCGATGTTAACGTGCTGTGTGTTAGGTCGAGGGCGGGGGCGGGGGGTGCGCGATTGTGAGGCGCTGCGTGATTGAGCGGTGTCATGATTCGCGGTCGTTGTGTAGATCGCATGCTTATCTTTGAGTATCTACGATTCAGCTTGGTTTGTCAGAGTTCAGAGTCGAGAGTATTGTACAGTACAAAGAATTCAATCCGTATTCCGTATTGATACAGCATGCATTCCGGTGTGCTTATGCTTATTTTGGCGCGCCGCTACTGGTCCTCCCAGAACTCCCTGCACTCCTCCGAGTCCCAGCTGACGAACTTGCCGGAGAGCGCTTTGGGGGCGCGGAGGGCGAGGCCGGCGATGACGTAGCCGCAGTCGGAGGGGTCGACGAGCTTGCCCTCGGTGAACTCGGTGATGAACTTGTGGACGTCTTCGGGGCGCATGTTGAGCTGTCCGTCGAGTTCGCGGATTTGGGCTTGCATCTGCGGGCGGCATGAGTATGGAAAGGAAGGGTTAAGAAGGGAGAGGAGCGTACGGCGGTGTCGACCTTGCCGGGGCGTACTGCGACGCAGACGACGCCCGGCTCTTCCTGTGCGAGTGTCCTACAAAACGCATACATGGACCCAATTTAACGAGTCAGGAGACGCGCGCGACGCACCGACAGAGGCTGTTCACGGCGGCCTTGCTCGCATTGTAGGGCGCCCAGCCGTAGGTGTTGCCCGTCGCGGAGCCCGAGCTGACGAAGACGACGCGGCCGCCGTGGGGGCTCGCGCGGAGGGCGGGGAGGACGGCGCGGAGGGCGGGGATGAGGCTGAAGAAGTTGACGTCAAAGTGGTGCTTCCATGCGTCGAGGGCGAGGGCGGGGGAGGCGGACGCGACGGGGCCGGTGGGCTCGAGGACGCCGGCGTTGAGGACGAGGGCGTCGATGTGCCCGAAGGTGTGCGCGGCGGTGGCGAGGGCGGCCTCGAGGGCGGGCGTGTCGGTCCTACACACGATATGTTTTCAACTGATAATAATACTAGGAGACGGGACGGGACTGACACGTCGCACTCGAGGTGGAGGAACGTCTTTGGGTGCTCGGCGGCGAGGCGGTCGACGGCGGGCGAGCGGGAGCGGGAGATCCCGACGACGGCGGCGGCGAACCTGGTCAGGAGCAGCGTGGCGACGGCGAGGCCGATGCCCCTGCGGATCAACGGCGGGGTCAGCACTGACGGCGGCGGAGACGGGCGGGGGGACGCACTTGGATGCGCCGGTGAGGACGACGACCGGCGGCGGGTTCATCGCGGACACGGGTGACGGCGCCGGGTGCGAGTGATGGCGGGCGGGAGAGCGGCGGACGCCGCAGAACGCGGCAAGACGCTGCTCTCTTTCGAGACGCTGTGTCTCTCTTTGGCGAGCGCGCGCCTACTGCCTGCCCCCAACGACTCGCCCCGTCCGACCCCGAGCCCTCTCTCTCAAAACCACGCCCAGCACCCGCGGCCAGGCTCTCTCTCTCCCTCGTCTCCTCTCCCTCGCCACCCTCGACGCCATGGCCACCCGCTCCGCCGTCGCCCGCCTCGCCCCCGCCCTCCTCCGCGCCCGCCCAGCACCCGTCGCCCGCCATGTCGCACGCAGGGCCGCCGCCGTCCGCGCGTACGCGACCGAGTCTGAGCACTCCGTGAGTCTCGGCCCCCGTCTCCCCTCGGCCGACGAGCCCTGCGTCCTGAGCTGCGAGTCCTGACTGACCTCATCCCGCGCGCGATGACGCTTTGCTGCAGATGACCGTCCGCGAGGCCCTCAACGCCGCCATGGAGGAGGAGATGCTCCGCGACGAGACCGTCTTCGTCATGGGCGAGGAGGTCGCCCGCTACAACGGTGCCTACAAGGTCGGTCCCCGCCCGTCTTTCCGCCGTCGCGCCCGTCTCATCCCCTCCTGCGCAGGTGACCAAGGGCCTCCTCGACAAGTTCGGCGAGAAGCGCGTCATCGACACGCCCATCACAGAGATGGGTTTCGCAGGCCTCGCTACCGGCGCCGCCCTCGCCGGCCTCAGGCCCATGTACGTCCTCTCCCGCCCGATCCACCACTTATTCTGACCAACGCACGCGCACGTCCGCCGCCAGCTGCGAGTTCATGACCTGGAACTTCGCCATGCAGGCCATCGACCACATCGTCAACTCCGCCGGCAAGACCT